AACAGCTGTAAATTTTATTCATTAAACTTTAATTTTAAGAAAAGTGCTAAATTATTTACAATATGTCAAATTTATTAAGCGTTTAGTGTCCATCAAATGTAAGATGGGGTCAATTTTATAAACAAATGTTTCGGTTCTGTGTTAAATCAGGAGATTAACAGGTATCAACTTTTCTTGGAACATTAAGCAGAAAATAAAGCAAAACAGCAAACTGTTTAAGAAGTATAACTCAACAATATTGGCCTAAAAACTTTTCTTTAAACTTAATACCAGGCAGTTGTTAGAAACCAATCTACAGGAGTAACAGACTGACAATAAATTAGGAACTAAATAAATCTTAACAGTTTAGTGAACACTACCGAATTTTCATCGTAGAAAGGATTAGCCAACAAACGTTGGACCTTTCTGGAGGAGGTGGACCAGTTTTCCTGAGTGGAGGGGAGATTGGTGATGTGTTTGAGAACTGGTAGTACAACGGAGATGTTAGTCTTGTAGCTAGTGTTCTAAATATGCTGTCGATGCTTCAGCATGTCCCCGAGAATGGCTTAGGTTTTCTTTTATTTATTTTGTGTTTCAAAGTCCTCATAATGCATTTTGGCGCTCATTTTTGCGTCTAGGTTCCCATTCTCCCGGTATAAGTTCGATGAAACATTCCACCGTGTGCGATGCTTCGCAGGAGGAGTCGGGGCCATTTCTATATAATTCGTCTGAAGTACAGCGAGAAAACGAATATTTTTCTGAACTCAACGTTTCGTAGAAAAGTATTTTATCTGGCAGGATGCTCAGGACACTGTGGCAAGAAAAGAAAATAATCAAATAACTCAGTATTTAAATTACATTTTGTAACTTAAGTGCTTTAAAGTCGGTTCGTTTAGTTATAGCAACATCTTTATTAGATCCCTTTTTAAATAACCCATTTAATATATTTCAATTCCAGCAACTAATATCTGAAGATAATTGGTTCCATTTTCTCATTTTAATTTTTAATTTTGCTCTAACACCATTCTCTAACTGCAAGCCTAGAGATGGGCTTCAGTGACTGCGTAGGATTGGATTCTAGGTGGACGGGACAGCAAGAATTGCTTCTGGGTGGCAGGTTTTGCTACCAGATTGGCCTAGACTTGTCAACTCTCTAGAATACTAGTGATTTCTTACCTTAACGACGTTAAAAACCTTAGAACTGCTTCGTGGGTCAGCACACCACTTACGGCCACATCCCAGTTTAACTGAAGCATGTTTATACGATGACATCTCTGAGAAACATTCTTTAATTAGTTTTACATACGAAACATTTATTTGCATATTTTAATTGTAAAATTAATTTACTTTTCATTTTATAATGGTTGAACATAATTGATTGCTTAATGTAAATAAGAATATGTAATGCAGAATAATTTAAGGAACAAAACTAAAAAATCTAGATTTGCAGATTCTGTAGCTAGCAAAATTTTTAAATTTACGGAAATTAATGATAATTTCTATGAAGCAGAAAATACCATTAAACAAATATTTCATACTGGTACTTGTTCAATAGTCTTATTGTCAAACTTTTTCTATTTTACGCATTGTGAATCCAGCTATCAGTTAATACATTAATGATAGGTTCTATTAAGCAAATTAATTATAGTTTCTATGAAGCAGAAAATATCACGAAGCAAATAATTCATACTGGTACTTGTTCAATAGTGTTATTGTCAAACTTTTTCTATTTTACGTATTGTGAATCTAGCAATCAGTTTAGTGTATTAATGATGGTTTCTATTAAGCAGAAAATACCACGAAACAAATATTTCATGCTGGTACTTGTTCAATAGTGTTATTGTCAAACTTTTTCTATTAAGCAAATTAATTATAGTTTCTATGAAGCAGAAAATACCATTAAACAAATAATTCATACTGGTACTTGTTCAATAGTGTTTATTGTCAAACTTTTTCTATTAAGCAAATTAATTATAGTTTCTATGAAGCAGAAAATACCATGAAACTAATAATTCATACTGGTACTTGTTCAATAGTGTTATTGTCAAACTTTTACTATTTTACGTATTGTGAATCTAGCAATAAGTTTAGTGTATTAATGATAGTTTCTATTAAGCAGAAAATACCACGAAACAAATATTTCATACTGGTACTTGTTCAATAGTGTTATTCTCAAACTTTTACTATTTTACGTATTGTGAATCTAGCAATCAGTTTAGTGTATTAATGATAGTTTCTATTAAGCAAATTAATTAGTTTCTATGAAGCAGAAAATACCACGAGGCAAATATTTCATACTGGTATTTGTTCAATAGTTTTATTGTAAAACTTTGCTAGATTCACAATGCGTAAAATAGAAAATCAGTTTAGTAAATTAATGATAGGTTCTATTAAGTAGAAAATACCACGAAACAAATATTTCATACTGGTACTTGTTCAATAGTGCTATTGTCAAACTTTTTCTATTTTACGCATTGTGAATCTAGCAATCAGTTTACTACATTAATGATAGTTTCTATTAAGCAAATTAATGATGTTTTCTATTAAGCAGAAAGTACCGCGAAACAAATATTTCATACTGGTACTTGTTCAATAGTTTTATTGTAAAACTTTTTCTATTTTACGCATTGTGAATCTAGCAATCAGTTTACTACACTGATACGCTTGAGTTTATGACAATTGAAACCTGCATTTAAAAACTCAGACTAGTTAGAGCATTGATAGCTCTAGGGCTCAGAGTCCAATGACAATGTAATTCTAAATAGTTTCTTGACCTATGCAAGGAGAATTTATCACGCTATAATCACGAAAGTGATTTAATCTTCAGTGTACATTTGACTCTATTTCTATATGAGCTAGAGTGCTTAACTAAATCACAGTGCGTGTTGACAATACAGAATTTCTAAGGTTTCTGGACTATCAAATTTTTGACAATTTTTTTCACCAAATTAAAATTATGTTTAATCGAAATTTAGAACACATTGCGAACACCTGAAGTGCTCAAATTTCAACTGTGCCTAGTAAAAAGCTACTTTTCCTATACTAGAAAAAACTGGTTTCCTATACTAGGTAAACTGTTTATTTCTATTTGTACTGATTAACCTTAACAAAGTACACATCAATCAGCACCCGCTCTTTCATTTTATGCAATTACATCAGTTGAATATTATCGTAAATTAAAGTTATGCAGCTTAAACTATTTTTACAAATTGTTTACTTTTCTGCAAGAAATGTTGGTTAATATCTGTGTTCTATGGTACAAAGAACAAATATGTAGAAATTTTCAAATAAAAATTACCCAAAGTCTTAAATTAGAATCTTATTTAAAAAAATTAATGCAGACATTTATATCTTACATCTGCAATAGAAAACCTCAATGAATTAGCTTTAACACCACTTTATACACTATTTGAGAATTGTCGTGAACAACTTTTATTTTGCATAGTTTGGATACCGCTAGTAGTTTGCTAACATTAAAGTAGGACATAGCTTAAATTTCTTCCATGCTGCTGAAATTCTAAGTAAAAAAAATTCACTGTTTCAAAATGTGTGTTTTCAGTTACATAATAAGGATAATTATAATTTTCGAACAGCTGTAAATTTTATTCATTATATAACTTCCTGTTAAGCTTAATTCGACTTCATATCTGTACTATGTAGGCCTCATTTCTAAAATTGTAAATTTTTAAATTGTGTGTTTGCCTCCTATGCTATTATTTTAAATTGATAAGTTTATTGAGTAATGTGCATCTTATCATACTCTCGTAAATTTTAGTGTTTACTTAACAGCTAAGTTGGTGTCAACTATTTTACATCAAAAGTAGAATATCGGAACATTCAAAGTGCTTCTTTTAGTAACTTTTAGTGTTGAGATACACTTTAAGGGTTGAGATTTTATGAGGCGTTAAATGGGTTATAACTATTCAGATTAGCTCCTCGAAACAATCAACGGGAACTCACTGTGAGGCGTTAAAGTGTTTTAGATGTCTAATAGATGTCCTCTTTCTCGCCAAGATTTCCCAGCTGTTCACTTCTAGTGTTTTGAAATTTCCATTAATGCAGCCAACCCACGTGAGTCTGGTTCATGTTTCAATCTGTTTAAAATGAAACTCTGGATATTCTCAAACTATATTTAACTTTTTTTTTGCAGCCGCACTTTTGTGTGCCTCCAAATTTTAGAAATGTTATAGTAAAAAATTATAATACTTTTTTATTGCGTGAGCAGATCAAATTAGAGTAAATATACTTTTCTGCGCTTTAAAGGCGTAAACATCTTTATCGGCGATAGTTCTGTCTCTGCCAATATTCAAATATTTCGGAAAGTTAATGACTATTAAAATTACAAATAAACAAAAGCAAGTTAAATATTAGCTCAAAAAAGGAAATAAATGCTAACCATTGAAATAAACTATGCAATTAATAGTTATGAAGAAGATAACTAACAAAAAAGCTAACAATAATTTGAAGAAAACAAGTTAACAAGAAATCACAGAAAATAATATAGAAAAACTAACAATTAATAACTATGAAAAACAAGCTAACAATCTATAAATAGCAACAAAAAAAAGTTCACCTGTAATTCATCCTTTCATAGACCTACTGTTTGAGTAGTACATATTTCATTTCACATTCAAAATTATAATCATAGACTATTTTATAAGTTTTTAAGTCAGCAAATTTTAAACTTATTTCTTTTCTTTGAGTGCCGTCAAATTTCGAAATAGTTAAAAATGTACCGCGACGAAAAAAAGGTTGAGAATTTTACTGCTCTAAATGTTGAGTGGGATAAATCAGATGTACGATTGTTACTTAATGTGCACAGAATCCAACTTATCTCTTGAATATGACTAGCTTACTTTGATTTTCACATAGCCCAGGTTTTTGAGCCACATGCGAGCACATGTCTAATGATAGTTTAATATAATACGATTTCTGTTTTTCAATCATTTGATAAAAAAATTCTTGTGGTGGCTCAGGGGATGCAATTCAAATGAGGTGATCGATACGAATTGTCCGTATCCGGCATACACCAACCCCTGTGTTGACGTTAAATATTCTCAGTGGTAGACGGATCGTGGTTTAGAGCGCCTTTGCCGTCAGGCTAACAGTAGAAGGATTTCGTGATTTTCCTCTTGACTTAACTCAAATGCGAGTTAGTTCCATTAAAAAAGTCCTCAACTCACAACCTGCACAACTCACTTTTTAAGCATTAAGGATTTTTAACACTATAAACGTTCACAATTAAGACTTTCGTGTCTTGCGTTTTCGTCTGATATTTTCTAAAAACTCCTGACTGGGCGATGTCGTTGTAAAACACAGATTAACGTGTTATGAAACGGAAATATTCAATGGAGTGGTCTGAACAAGTGTGAAATCCGAATTGGGAGTGGTAAACGGCCGTTCTTCTCCCTCTTCGAGCCTCATACTTGTTCAGCCGTTTCGGAACTTTTCCGTTCTTTCGACTACGGTGCAGTAAGAACCAGGGTGTCAAAAGAACTGGGTGGTCCTGGACTGTGCTGCTAGCCCACATGTCCGTGACCCTAAGTCACTGAAGAACTCTGGTGCTTACAGCTAAATATATTTGGCTTTAAAATTATTTAAATTATTATCCCGCTCAAATTAAAATCTAAAGGGCTGAGGTAGGATAGAGTAAGGTCCTGGAATGTAACTAAAGCTTGCAAGTCCGTGCCCTGAAAAACCACCCAGCCCTTTACTAACGTTTAATCTTAGAACAAGAACGTTTATAGTGCTTGTAATTTATCAATTTAGACTTTCATAATATTTTTCTAGCTAAGGGGAAAAGCGTTTCTCTTGTGTTAGATTAGTTAAGTGATAGTTGCATTGTGAGAATGTTAACGATGTTATTTTAAATTTGAACTAAACTTTAATCGGTTTCTTAAGATTAGCTTCTAAAGTCTTGATATCTGTACGAATAAGAATTTTTTGACACAGAAATTATTAATTTAAAATATAGTTTTGAAGATTCTGGGAGCAATGTAAAGCAACCATTCATGAAAGCACATGTGTACAATGAACTTCGTAAGCTGTATAAATCTGTTATGAACAGCTGTATAAAGCTGTATAAGCTGTATAAATCTGTATCGAATTTGAACTGTATCGAAGAGAACAAATCCTCCTTAATGTTCAGAATATTAAAATAAATTGGAACCTGAACAAGAATTTTCAACAATTTTCAACAATTTTTTTCAACAAAAAATTTTTTTCCTGAACAGAATCAATTTTTTAACGGATGAAAACACCGATGTCAAGATAGGAAAATGCTGCAAAATATATAGTTAAATTTAAAACTTGTTCGATTTAAAGAGTATTCAAAGTGTTTACCATTATTTTTATAGATTGATTTATACTTCTGACCGTTTCATTTCTAAATTAAAACTGAACTGGACTTCTATCTTTGTTTGCTTTCTTTTGATTTTTGTTAAAATCAACATCCTTTAGAATTGATAAAAGAGTTAAAATATGGATAAAAAGCGCAAAATAAAAATTAATAATATGTAAGCCAATGAAGCATTTTCTCATATTCTGATAACATATAAAGTACTTCTTACTATATTTAATATTGTATATATATACTAATATATAATATATACTAACTATACTATCACTTGTATTTAACTAATCTACTGTGATACTTTTATTACTGCAGATATTCTAATATTGTTCAATGATTTAATTTATCTCAAACAATATTAGTTTTGAATATAGGTTTTATCTGCCTTATTATTGGATTAAATTATGCTTAATTCAGCCTTTTTTGTGTGCATCGGTACTGCTTCTGTCTCTGGTATTTTTCAGAATCTTCTTCTTGATATGCTGCTGATGTGAACACGCTTTGGGGAGCTGAAATTGCAAAAGATGGAAAGTTTCGAAGAAAGCATCTGACTAATCTCTGAAAAGCGGAAGTTGTTTTCTGATGTGTTGCTGCCTACTTTCAATTAACTTGCTGGCCTAGTAGGTGAGATGAACTTTTATTTTTTCTATTGTTCCTCCAAGCCCTTTTTACTTATAATAAATTTAATTTAGCAGAGAATAAATTTTGCGCCATTCTCCAGATTCAAGTGTTGCCGAGATTTAAAAGGAAATTGAAAGGGCCATTTTGTATTTCTCAAATGAGATGAGACTGATCTGTTCCTCGAAGATTATTTCATTCCCAAAGAAGTGGCTCAAGTTAATCTCAGAACTTTCTGGTCTACGTAAAATATCCTGATTCGTGCGTTAAAATCCCCATACCGTCGAGCTAACCGTGGAAGGTTTTCATGGTTCCCTCTCCATGTAACGCAAATGCGGGTTAGTTGCAGCGTAAGTCCTCCATGAAGGCTATTTCGATCCAGGAGTTCTCTCGTCTTCTGGTTTCAAGTGTGCGATCTTATGGAGCTGAACAGTCATAATTGTAAACCCAGAAATGAGTATGCCATCCAACCCTGGTTGAGCAGTAAATTAAATTCAGTTGGATATCTCTTTTTGCACTAAGCAAACTTGTTGGAAAGTTTTCGAGAACAGACTTCCGTGGTTCCTACTCTAAACCCTGCAATGACAATTAACGCCTTTCGAATTTTTCAAGCTGGCATTGTAGATGTTGTTCAATTTTGTTATTTATGTAAGACTTCTTTTACATAATGCATAGTTACATGCAATTCTGTGTCTTGTTCTACTCTTATTAGCCATGAATAAATAGCTTATTCTTGATATTTGGGTTTTGTCTTTTTCGTTGGTTGTCAATTTCTAGGATGAATTTAAAGTTACATTAAAGTTACCCAGTAAGGGTATATAGTTAAACTTCGATAATATGATTGCTTTCAGATTAACCAGATTTTGGAGGTCTTCCATGTTAAGACTCAAACACTAGCTTACATATTTTGTGAACGGCGCGAAAAGTGTTTCTGTGGTATCTGTTTCAATGCAATTGCGCAGAATAATCTATATCACATTGAGTAACGTTTTGTTCCAAATGATCTGATTTTCACAAACTGAGTGCCATTCTTAATTTTTCAGAAGAATGACTTCAATAGCTAGCAATAATTAATAACTAAGTATTTGTGACAAATTCTGTAGCTGAATAGTTAGCTCCAATTCTCTTATCTGAGGCTCCCCGTTTGAACTGCCACGTTTGGCACTTAGTAAAAATCTGATCATTAGAAAAAGATATGCAGGGCTTTATATTGAACACTGCTTTTACTTTTTATTCTTAGTTAAATTAAAAGTATCATTTGAGACAAAATTATAATTTGCATTGGTATCAAATACAGAGATCTAGTTAAAATTTAAGCAGTATAGCTAGTCTGAAATGAGTCTAATTTTGATTGGAAATAAAGTTTTTCCTTTGCAGCATACAAGAAAATGGCAAATTTTATGGTCGCAAGGTAAAGAATACTAGTTGAAAATTAATTGCTACTCACTAAGTTGTTAGAAATGCGATTGGCGATAAGTTCTATTTAGCGACGCTATTTTTTTAGAGGAAAGGAATTCGAATTTCTTTTGTATAATGTTTTAGTGATGCAAAAACGTCTAGCTTAATAATAATCGCTGAAATAATGTCACTAAATTAAATTTCAACAAGTGAAAGTCTAAGCACATAGATTGTGGCGATAGTGTAGGACAGATAAAATTAGATTCTTGAAAATGTTTATTCGTTTTTCAGTGATGCTTAACTTGAGATTTTTTTTCACTATTTTAATTTTTTTTTCATTAAAAATGTAAAAATTTATAAAGCATTAACTTTGCTGTTTCAGAATTTTTCTTTTCAAGCACGGATAAATAAATTGCAGAAATAAGGAGAAAAATTAGCAATAACCATACTTTGTTAATACCATTATATTGCAGAAAAAGGAATTAAATTTTATAAATTTAGAAATAAAAAACTATTTACTCATAATACTGAAGTACTAGAAAAGAATAATAATGAGAATAGATATGGGAATTTAAATATTTAATACATAGAAAAAAAACGATGAAATGAACTTTAACTAGTAAATATTACTTAATATAAATATTACTAAACATAATCTAGTAAATATTTACTTAAAAAGAAAATCATTCAACTCTAATTTTTTTTTATCTGAAGGTTTTTTAGCATTGGCACATTGTAACGATAATGAAAAGATATTTTTAAATAGATTATATTTAAGAAAACATTGATTTTTATGATGTAATATCGAATAATAAAATCATCCCCTCTATATCTAGATGTATACTATTTCTATCCAATCTGTGACTGATTTCAATTAAGTTTTAGGCTGTAATTGAGTATTATTTTAACTTAAACATGATGCGTAGCGTTTTTAAAGTGCTTATCCATTTAATTTTTTTTCATTTTTGATAGTTAGGTTAATACTTCCAGTAGTGCTTTGACATGGTGAGTTTGTCATTTCTTGTTAATGGTTTTCTTTTGCTGTGATAATACTTTTAGTAATCTAATGAGGTTATAACCTATTTTATTTCATCTTCAAGTCTTTTTCTTCAAATATTAATCGAGCTATGACATTAGCAGCTAGGTTCTGTCGTTTTAACTCAAAAATAAACCACACAAAGGAACTGACATGTTTTTTTTTATGATGGAAGGGTTACTATAATAGGGGTCATATTAAAAAAAAATTATACTATTACAATTTATGCAAATTCAATATAGCATTTAATCATATAATTAAACAAATTTAGAAACTTACAATATTTATGAAAAATAACGAATATGGTTTAGTTTTTCTTCATACTTAGAAGATTTTCTTGTTCTTTCTTTACAGAAGTGGAATTAAATTCAGCACTTCCCATTTTTTTAGTATATCTTCTCTTTTTTCCCGATCCAAAGTTCGAATAATTTCCTCGTGGTGGTGAATGCTAGCTATGTAACTTGCTAATTCTTTTTCAACATTCTTTCTCTTTATCTTTTAAATAAAAGCAAGGAAGAATGTATAAATACACTTCTCACATTTTTTTTAAAACGAGATATTGTTGTTACAAGTTGTTTAAATAAACAAATAGCTACCTTTAGAATAAAAAGAGAGCCCTATTGACCTTACAAGGCTTACGTGAACTCAGATTAAGTGAATCAATTTAACGTAAAATTAATGACACACCGAGGAAATTTTTATTTTAAGAAACCTATAGATTTTACGATCCCAAAAACAAAATCTACAGAATTACCATCATACAACCATTCAGATCCAAATCACAATTTGGATACAATAGAGCTCTGGTCGATGTGCCCTGCTCTTCAGAGCTGCTCAATCTCTAAACCTAAGCCATTTTAGTAGCAACAAAATTCTATTAATGGCATTTTCTAAATGACAAATTATCAATCTATCTATAATATTATATTAATAATGAAAAAATCTGCATTTGGAAGTGAAATCAATTATTTGGAAATTCTTTTTTTTTTTAATTATGTTAAAAACATATAGCTTCCTTTTTTATACATGCTAATTCAAAGACCTGAAAATTAAAGTACAGTAGAGAACCAATTATCCGGGATGTACCATCACTGTCTAAATTTCCCGGTTTTCTGGATCGGCCAAAAAATGTCGTTAATCAATGTTTTATCGGACCCGAATTGCAAGGGAAAAGTGTAACACATTTTAAAATAAGGAAGAAAAAAAAAGCTCTCCTAAATTTAAAACTAAATGGTAGAAAAGGAACATTTTAAAGAATGAAAAGATTTGCAAGTTTAGAAAAGCAAAGTTTAAAATACAAAATTAACGTATTACAAATACAAAATTAACGTATTTATTTTCTGAAAATAATTAAAATCGACAATTTAACTGATATATAACAAAACCAATGATTGAAAAACGCAATATATTTCATATCTAATTATACGGGGGAAAACGATAAAATAAAAGAAATAAAAACAAAACTAAATAAAAACAACACTTGGAAATTATGGAACATAAACGAGAGTTTAAAAAGGCACTAACATAAATATTTAGGCCCCGAGCAAGGCAGGATATTATGAGATCAACGGAATAAAAAATAAAAATAAAAAACTTAAATCATAAAATTTATGAATAAAAAGAATTTATTTATTGTGTACGAAATTTATTGTGAAGTGAAAGAATAAAAACAAACTCAAACATAGTGGAAGCTGAAATGTATCACTTTTAAGGAAAGTGCAATCTGCTTCATAAAATAATCGTCTGCTTTTTGTAATAAATAATTGTATGCTTAGATAAATAAGCATTCTTCTCCTTTTATTTCGCTATAAAAACGGATAATTTTCAACGAAAGCAGATGTGATTTGTGATTCCACATCAAGAAATACTCGCAAATGATACCGCACTTCTATAGAATCAGAATTTATTCAAAAGAAAAATATTGTTTCGTCAATCGATGTCAAATGGATAAATATAACAGGTGATTAAAAAAACGTTTTGTTTCGTAATAAATAATGTATTATCCGAAATTATTAAACATTTTGTCATAATAAATTAAGGATAACACCAGGATTATCAAGCTCCTTAAATCGGACACCCAATTGACAACACTTAGAAACTGTTATGAATAATAGAAGGATCTTAAAGATGCCCCAAATAGTGGTTATTTCGGGGGGGGGGGAATTGATTTTTTTTTTAAATCCCGTATTGGGCTAGCGTAAGTAATGATATTACGCAAAACGGAAGAGTAAAATCAAATTGGATCGAGTGTCGAATTCTCTGATAATGACAACTCCCGGTTTTGAGGTAAAATTACGTTTTCCCCTGACAATTCACTGACTTTTTTTTTTTTTTTTGAATCTCGTTTTTCCTGACTATTCCCGGGACTTATGAATCCTTCTCCCTTCCGCAGAGGATCAAAATTGTGATGGCATGTCTTCGGATCATCCTCCGGGATGTTGCCCAGACCGTCGCCAGTAGCCCATTGTGCAGCTCTAGTGCGACGTAAAGTAACAATAACAACAATAACAATATGAATCCTTCATTTTACTTTCAGAGGATATCGTTGTTCATTTCCGAATTTTCATTCCAGATTCTCAATTTAACAAGTGCAGAAAAAGATTCATATTAATTTAGTATTTTATTTCGCTTTAATTTTTTAAAACTTGTTCCTACAAGACGTGCAGGACAGTACACGTTCTTAGAACTAATAACATTAATTCCACGGATAATTATAACTCTTATATATTCCAATAATTATAATTCTTATATATTCTTATAATTATAGGAATTATAGAAATAAGAAGAAGAAATATGTTTGCGGAAAAGGTACAATAGAAACTACCTGCATATGCAAAAAATGCATTGAGCAATGAATTAAAAATTCTTATTCTTTGTAATTGCAATACATAAAAATGGGCAATATACAATTTTGTTAAATGATAATTAAGTTTTTTTAAGTTTATTTTCTTCCTAACATCCCTATTTTACACATTCAATCAAGAAACATTAAACATTTGACAGGCAATGGTAGAAATAGGTATAGATTAACTGTTGGTATGTTTAGTTTTAATAAATGTTCAGATTTATCTTGTTTTTATTTCATTCTAGATTTAAGGGGAAGAAGGAAAATGTCCTTTTCTCAAAATTACTATCAAGAATAAATGTAAAAAGAAAAACCAGACACATATTTCCTTATCTGCGGAAAATGAGAAAACAATTGCCCTTCCCTACAAATAGACTGTAGCTTACGTTGCAAGCCACAAAACATCAATTCCGATTTAAAAGTAATTTTTCAAGTTAGATTAAAATGTTTTTTTTTAG